CCATCCATCCATCCATCCATCCATCCATCCATCCTCTTTACCCGCTTTTTTTTTTTTTTTTGGATCACGGGGGACACTGGTGCCCATATCCATCAGTCACAGTGCAAAAAAAAAAAAAGGTGGGGGACACCCTGGACAGGTCGCTCACAGAAGACTGGATTCTTGTAAAGAAAAAATATATATACTGGTATATTATTTTTGCCAGTTTAAAAAAATAAATAAAACAATGAACTGTGCAAGCATATGTGATTTATTTTTTTATTCTATTGTGGAGCAATTGAGTATCCTACTTAAAAGAAATACAGCAGTTAAAGTGAGCATAATTTACTCTGTATATTAGTACTAGTATCCACGTATTTGCAAAGGAATGACAGGAAAACTGCTAAAACTAGTCTTTTTTTATTTGTGGGTATAACATCCTATTTTTATTATTAACCTTTATTTAATCAGGCTAATCCCATTGACATCATAGATCTCTTTTGCAAAGGAGGCGTGGGCCTGAAGTCAGCCTAACATGCATGTTTTTATTCTGTGGGAGGAAACTGGAGTACCTGGAGAAAACCCACACAAGCACAAGAAAGACTTGCAAACTCCACACAGAAAGACCCCAGGTCCAACTGGGGATTGAACCTAGGCCCTTCTTGCTGTGAGGCAACAATGCTAACCACTGAGCCATTGTGCTGTCCTGTAAAATTCAGTTTTATGTTAGTTTTGGTGAAAGCTTGAAAGAGCCTCTGCAGAGGGACTAAAGAGCCACATGTGGTTCCAGAGCCGCATGTTGCAGACCCCTGGACTAGAAGAATGCTTAAAAAAAATCCCAATTCAGTAAATTAACTTAGTTTCCTATGCAAGCACATCCATAAAAACAAACTTTTTTTATTTTATCTGTTTTTTTTCTTGCCTTTTAAGTTAAAACAATTCTGTTTTCAAATCACAAGAAATGCAGTATATTAGCTGTACGTCAGATTAAATATTTTCATAAATATTTGTGTTTTATAAATTTGCCAAAAGCCTCACAGAGCTCATATTAGAGATTTAGTGAGCTGCAAGCAAAGGGAAATTGATATCCTCAACTTGACACATCACTAGTTGCACCTTTTGCTGACATGAATGTTTCATCTCGATTACAGTATCACCTTCACACCACTTGCCTCTGGCTTCAGTAGAGTATCTTTTCCTTTTTCCTGCTTTCTCCACTCCTTCCATTTTTCAAATAAATGGGCTAATGATTCTATGCAGGCGAATAACTGGAGGCCTGTTTTAATTAGAGATATTCAAAGCTGAATTAAGCCTCGCTGTGTTCAGCTTGCCAGGAGCACAAGCTGACCTCAATGCTTACGCCTCTGAATAACTGCATCTTTTTGTGACGTGCAAGTTTATCAATAAATGGAGCTGGAGGTGCCTCGGGCACTCAGTGTTAGCATTTATCCACCAAAATACAGTGCAATTCAAACTAACTTTACAATAAATCCATCCCGCTGGCTAGAAGACTCAAGACTGCTGATTATTCTCAACAGCTTTAGTTTACGTGGCTTGTTGTTTGTGTCTTATTACATTCAAATGGAAAAACTGAGAATAATATTGTTAGAATCAGCTAAATCGTTGTGCTTTAATAGGTTAATATTCAATGTCTTCACATTTGATCTGTTAGCTCGAGAGTGTCAAGAGGGTTTGCACCACAAATGCCACTCCTTAATGGTTGTCATTTTTGTTTTAGCTCAGTGCCTGGCCATGCACAGAATTTCAAACAACTCGCACTCAGCTGCATGTTGGCTCTCAACTCAGGGAGGAAAAATTGATCTCTTTAATATTGCTAAAAATCAACACTTTTATATTTAAATTTAGTTGAAGTCTCAACGTTTTTTTGGTGCAAAGCAGTGTTGAAAGTTTGTGCTCAAAATGAACATTTCCAAGTGCTTTAAAGAACATGTTGCAATACAAGTTCAAGTTTATTGTCATTCGCATCACATGTGGTACATGAGGTGGAACAAAATTGTGTACACAGGGTCCCAGTTACATCCAAAAATAGCAAAAATATAAAGTATTAAAATAAACAGTGTACTAAGGTCCAAGATATACGCTAAACCCTAATAATGTAAAATAGCATTAAACAGCAGCCCGAACATGAGTCTGTAGTGAGCAGCTGATTATGGATACAGCAGCTTAAAGGCAAGAGATCAGCTTAAATACTGTAACACAGATAAGAAGCTTTAATTATTTTAATCAACGCTGCACATTCTTTGTGTGTTTTCGGATTTTGTGGTTTTACTCCAACGTGCACTTTATTCCATTTCTCCCAGGTGAAGCTGTTCATTTAGCAAGAGACTTTGGTTACGTATGTGAGACAGAGTTCCCTGCAAAAGCAATAGCTGAATACTTGGGCAGACCACATGTGGAGCGCAACGAGGTTAACTCTCGCAAAAACATGCTCCTCGCTGCAAAGTAAGTACCATAAATATGTGTTTTTTTTTTGTCTTTTATGCATGTACTTATAAACTTGCACCATAGGATGTAGCAAATTATTATTTTACTTATTTTAAAACGTTAATCATCACAGCATCTAACGTCCTGTCATGGAAGTCACTCTTGCTTTCTTGAATCACCGTGTAAAGTGCTTCTATACTCATTTTGGTTTTCTAACATCAGGCAAATCTGCAAGGAGTTCACCGATCTGCTCACTCAGGACCGGTCGCCTCTGGGAAACTCGAGGCCCGCTCCCATTTTGGAGCCTGGGATCCAGGGCTGCCTGACTCATTTCAGCCTCATCTCTCACGGTTTTGGCTCGCCCGCCATCTGCGCAGCAATGACCTCGCTCCAGAACTACCTGAACGAGGCGCTCAAACAAGTGGACAAGATGTATCTGAGCTCTGGCAGCGACACCCAGGGATCTTCAGAGAGCGGGAGCAAGCCTGACAAAATGGAAAAGCACAGGAAATGAGAGCTCAGAGGGAGAAACCTTATGAATTTTAGAATCCACTAAATCCCATTGCCCTCCCTGCCCTTTTTTTTTTTTTTTTTTGGACTTTAAAACATATTTAGTATTGTCATGTCGAGAGATTACCTTGTTTGTGTGTATGTGTGCGTGCTTGCACTGTATATTTTTCTAAGAAGTTGTGGACTTGCCTCAGGTCGCTGCAAACCATTAAGTTTTGGCACTCGGTGGTAAATACTTTGGACTGGTCTTAACAGGAGACCGCTGTGTGAAAGTTTTAACACACTGTATCAGTCTATGCAGTTTTATAAAGTTATCTATGAGCTGATGCTACAACCTTGGACCATAAAACGTGTGCTTTGTTGGATAGAAGAGGAAGCAAAGCAAAGTGCATTCTCGTGTTTTTTTTTTTTAATTTTTTATTAGAGGACATCATTTCAAGATGACTTGCTATGACTGTGAATTCCTGTTAGCGTTCCCTCCTCCTCCTCTGTCTGGATGCAAAATCCTCAGATTTCCTGTGTCTCAATGGACCTGCAAAGGAATTTTTTTTTACATGTGTGTGTAAAAGAAGAAAATCCACTTTGTTCTATTTCCTTTTTGTGCTTTTCGTTCAACCTCTCCAGAATGACTCCAGTGTTATTGTGCTTTGTTTATGGGAGATGATTTGAGTCTTATGTTGGACGATTCACTTGGTACTCAGCAGGTTTTAAAGTTGCTGCATTAGAAGCCTCTTCAGTGTTCATGTGGATTGCAGACTATGCTACGATTTCTTCGTCACTCAACTCATAAAACCATGGCAGTGAGAATACCACATTTTTATGATTGAGGTATTTGCCATTTGTAGTATTTAAAAGTTCCCAAGTTGATGTTGAGCTACCAACATGCTGATTCCTGCTAAAATGTATGTGTGTTGTGAGAATGTGTGTGTAATTGTACATACTGGTTTCTTTGAAAATGTCTTTAGCTGGACATTAAATTCATCCATGCAACCTAGAATTTTATCCAGTGTGTTGTTCTGGAATGTAAATATATATTTTTTAATTTATGTTGTAATTTAACGGGCTTTGTACATAATAGTATCATTCTGGTGTGAGGATTAACTTCTTATGAGGATGTGTTAAAACTTTTCTAAAAACAATATTTTTTTTTTTTGTCATCAAGTAGAAGTTAGGAAGTGGGCATGATTTACTTTTTGGAGAATATGTTAAACCATGTTTTAAAATTCCAGGAAAAATGTACAAATAAAGATGAGGGCCCCAAGGCTGATCTAGTGTGTGATGATGTTGGCCACAACCCACCCCCCCCCCCCCCCCATTATATTAACCTAATGGGAACAGTAGTCATCATTATTTGCTCACACTTAGCTTCACAAACAGGCTGTGTTGCTCAGTTAAGGCGCATCCTTTAAAAGTACATCATGTGATGAACAAAGATGTGCTGCAGAAAAGCAAATGGCTTTTTTTTTATGTTTGAGCTTGGAAAGCAGTTAGCAATGTATCCATTTTATTGTTGAAATTGCATTTTTCTTTGCTTCCTTGTTCAGAAAGCAGGAGTGGTTACTTCCACACTAACCGGAAATTGTGGTGGGGTGCTTTAAACTGTTTTTTACATCTGTAAAATCAACGGTCAGTGGCATTATTGCATGAAGATGCTTCCCGATAAGACCAAAGTAACAATGATAGCTTTGCCTAAGCCTTGACTAAGCTCTAAGTTTCTTGTTCGTGTCAAGATGTCAGCTTGTGAACTTTGTTTTTAATTTAGCATGATAAACTGATGCAGCTTAAGGGTCTCCGATGACATTTCAGCCACAAATGTCATGTTTACCAAAAGCAAAAGGTTGCAAAAGCTCATTTTTTTATATACATCAAAAACTCAAATTAGTGTTTGCTGAATGTATTTGTGAAAATCATAGGGCAGCAAATGCACTTTCTTTCTTTGACTGGTGTGGTTTCAGTGCAATGCTACAAGTCTCTCAACCTCTGTGGGATAAAAAGTGAAGACAAAACTACTCATTCGGGTTGGATGTGGCGCAAGGTTGCTTAATCATCACTTGCCCGGCCAGTGCTTGTTGATTCATGCGGTCTGTCTGTGTTTCTGAGCTTATGATTACGCATCGGAGCATTAGTGACATCAAACTAGCACTGACTGAAATACATTTCTGAATTAAAATAAGATTTTTTTATTTATTTTTTTTTATCAATGGATAGAAACATTGTCAGTAGCATTTATCCAAAGATGTATATCTTTTTTTTTTAATATATAAATAGTCTACATTAGGCATGAGTAGGCTACTGATTCAGAGGCCAGTAGACCAGCGTTTCCCAAAAACCTTGCTTTAGGGTTAGAGCGGCAGCGGTTGCAGCAAATACCTCGCAGTAAAACAAGTATCAGCCTCTCCCTTCAGAACCAGTCTAACCAGAACTGTCAACCTGAACCCAGTGGCTCTCAGCTTTGAAAGCGGTTGACTTTAACTGCCTTCAGTTATTCGTGTTATGTTGTATGCATAGACCTGAAAGAGCGGATAATTGGAGGGGGCGTAGGTGATGGTGGGAGAGCAGAGTAGATACAAGTGAAGGTTGTTGGAGAGAGAAAAAGGAGGATTGTTTGAGTGCCTTTGATGATCAGTGCAACACAGTTAAAGCAGCACTTCCCTGTGACGGGGTTTGATTGAAGGTTTTTCATCCTCTCCCTCCTTCTTTCTCTATGCATGTTGTCACTCAGTCACATCACAGACTTTTTGTTTTAACCGACATACACGTCTTTTTTTGTAAGCAGAGGTGACTTTTTGTGGAGTTAAAAAGAACACGTATACAATCTACGGCTTTGTCACTACAGACACCTTCCCTCAAAACAACCCCTAATATGAACATAAAGCACCATCTTACAATACGTCTCTCATGTGTTTTCCCAAACTTTTGCAACATGGTAACTGGTCAAAAACCTGTGAAACAGAATGAGTAATTCACCTGTGACACACCTAATATGGCTGTAAAAACGAGGCAAGCGTAGGCTTGTTGATCTCCTTCTTTACCTCGCACATCTTCTTTCATGAAACGAGAATATCTCAGTCAGAAACCTCTTTAATCAGAGATTAGAGATCATATTGGACATGCTAATGTAATCTTTACATCTCATTAGGATGCCTGGGGCTACTTGTCAACTTTAGATTCCTTGAACTGTATTTGTAATTCCAGCTAGTTCTGACTACATGACCTTTTTATGTAGGTCTCTGCAAGTCACATGACAACGCTCAAAGAACAACAACAAAAAAAAAAAGCCAACAAAGTCATTTTTATATCATTTTTTTCAAATTTAAAATAATATTTTCATCACTTTATTGTACTAATTTGTATGTATTTAAGAAGTTAAAATCGTTCAGTTCGCGGGAACTCGACGTTCATCCTTTTCTATTCGGTCAACCACTTCCCTTCAACAAACGTCTTTAAAATCTGTTGCACATTAAGGCTCATTTGCAGTCAGACTAATCTCTCGCTTGCAGTTCATAACCACCAAAACCACTTTATGAGTTAAAGCGTAGTTCTCTCGTCCCACGCCACAAACGACGAGTCAGAGTGATTATGGTGATAGATTTCCGTGTGTGAATTGAAAGTTGAATTCAGGCTGTTCCTGGTTCTGTAGACCGTAAACAGACGGAAATGTAAAAGTCTGAAAATGGGTTTTCATTTGATTAAGTCCTTTTACAAAGCTAGAGAGACAACATGATTTATGAACAATGAAATAAAATATGATGCAGCAACTTTATAAGCACAAGCCAATTTAAATTTTAAGATTTACTGCATCTTGGTCAGTGATGAAATTAAAGATAATGTGCCGTATGTTAGACCAATAAAATAAGGGGATATTATTTCTTGTGAAGGTTTTATTTATTTATTTTGCCGAACCTATGAGAAGAGGCGTGCCTTGGTCTCAGTAACATTTTAATACAGTGTATTGGTGTGTGTGGGGGGTGTAGGTGGTGGTGGGTTAGTTGACCATAAAGCAGTGATTGTCTGGCAGTATAAACAAAAAAAATTGGGTTTAATTGTATAAAATCTAAAAGTGGATCATTATATTAGAATCGTGGTATAGACAGAATTTATTTGTTTGATTTAGGCAAACCTTAAAAATATAGTGTCATTTGTCATTTACTCTATAAGTAATACCAAACAGTACATGGTTGCTGTAGAAATAAATAAAATATTAGTTTTTATTGGATCTAGAGGAGATAAAGGACTTGGTTTAATTAAATACTAAAGTAAAAATAATAAACTTTGTAACACATGTAAACAAAGCAAAAGTCTTAAAATGTTCCTATTATTTTGGTATTCCAGATATTTAAAAATTTAATTTAAACTAATATTTGTTTGTAATAAACATGAGTAAATTAATTATAATTTGTCAAATTCTTAGATGGAAGCTCTAGAATTGCTACATTTTCTTTATCCTAACTGAGCAATTCACGTTCATCTCCAGGTTAAAAAAAAAAGGATTATGTTCAAAACTTGACATAAGGTGATAGTAATGTGCCTCTCTCAAGCTAAACATACAGACACACGCACATAGATAAAACGAGAGAGAAGTGGAGAGAAGGACTGTGAGATTTTAATAATGAAGTTTGAAATTGCAAAATGAGAAACATCTAAGTTCGAAAAAAAATCTAAAAGGCATGCCATACATGTAAAAACATCTAAATTCATTACAAAATTCACATAATCAGTGGGGAAAAATCTTATAAGTAAACAAACAAACTGTTTATAGAAGTAATAACAGTCAAAAAATGTATTTCCTTTCATTTTACTAACAAGGAGTGCAATTTAGATACAGATTGAAATTTTAATGAGCTGCCATTTATTTACATGCAATCATTAAACATTATTGAGGCCAAAGTGATAAATTCTCCACTTTTTTGTTTTACTTTTTTTGGCAAGTCCTTGTTTGAAAAAGCTTTTGGTTTTAGCCCCAACACAGCAGCATCTTCAGTTGGTATTCAACATGAGTCAAAATGGTACAATCCATTTTACAAACGGTGAGCTCACCAGAGAATGGCTGTTCTGGCAGTCAAAGGCCACTTCACTGCCCATGCCCAAGTCAATGCTTTTAATTTATTCAGCCATTATAGTTGATGAAAATGGTCATACTGAACTTGAACTTGATATTATGGAAAAGTAATTTATAACTGCAGCCT